CACCAGCAAGTCTTTTCTTAAACAAGGATCTGAGTGGCACATCTCTATATCTGCCGAATGTGTAACCTTTAATATAAAGGTGGTGAATTCGTACAACTTTTATTAACCGTGAAAGTTATTGTGGTGTTACGTGCTTTGTCAACTTTTAAGATGTATGAAACATTTAGGAGAATTTTGTGACCACATGTATGAGATTGATTTACTGGTATTAGAATTACATAGGTTACATAAGCGCTTAAAAACATTTTACTGGCTAGATGTTAGCTACATTACATTTGTAATTGTAATTTACAATATCTAAGAGTTGATTATGCAAATTACGTTAATATTTAAGAAGTATTTAGACTGTTAAACTTGTGAATTGGTTAAATCATAGAATGAGTGCCCATATTTTTATGCAAAGATGAGATTTATAAATAGACTAACAAGATTTGTAATTTGAGCTTAACTGCTTATGAAATACAATTTTACAATGTATTACAATTTTAACATATTTGCCTATTAATAAACAAACTAGTCATGTCAACTATCAATTTTTATTCACTCTCAGAATGTCTACTATCTTTTTTGTGTTCAGTGATTCTCAAAAATATAATGAACCCTCAGTAATCAAAACAATATGGTACTGGCATAAAAATAGTCATATAGATCAATGGAACAGAATAGACAGCCCAGAATTAAATCCAGGCATATACGGGCAGTTAGTCTATGACAAGGGAAGCAAGAAGTTACATTGGGGTAAGGATAGTCTATTTAATAAATGGTGCTGGGAAAATTGGACTGACACATGCAAAAAAATAAAACTGGACCATCTCCTTACGCCATATAGAAGATCAAATTCAAAATGGATTAAAGACTTAAATATAAGACCTGAGACCATAAAACTCATAGAAGGAAGTATAGGGTCTAAATTTGCAGCTATTACCCTGAGCATATTTTTACTGATACATCCCCGCGGGCTCGGGAAGTAAAAGAAAAAATGAACATATGGGACTACATCAAACTTAAAAGTTTTTTCACAACAAAAGAAATCATCAATAAAACAAAAAGGAAGCCTACTGAATGGGAGAAGATATTTTTCAGTGATATATCTGATAAGGGATTAATATCCCAAATATATAAAATGCTCATGCAACTCAACACCAAAAAAACAAACAACCCAATTAAAAAGTGGGCAGAGGATATGAAGTGACATTTCTCCAAAGAGGACATACAGATGGCCAACAGGCATATGAAAAAATGTTCAACTTCACTTAGCATTAGGGAAATGCAAATAAAAACCACAATGAGATACTACCTCACCTTGGTCAGAATGGCTATCATCAATAAATCAATGAACAACAAATGCTGGCGAGGCTGTGGGGAAAAGGGAACCCTGGTGCACTGCTGGTGGGACTGCAGACTGATGCAGCCATTATGGAAATCAGTATGGAGGTATCTCAAAAATCTGGATATGACCCAGCAATTCCACTCTTAGGTATTTATCCAAAAAA